GATAATTCTGAACTGTTGGTACAGAGCTGTGTATAAATTTCAATTGTAGTTATAACATTGTAAGACTGAAACGAGCTGGGTGCTGGTGGCACACTCCTTTAATCCCAGCACTAGGGAGGTAGAGGTAGGAGGATCTCTGAATTCGAGGCCAGGCTAATTTTGAGTTTGGGGTTAGTCAGGGCTACACAGAGAGACCCTGTCTGAAAGAAATAAAAGCAAAATCAAACCAGCAAAAAATAAAAGAATACAATTATCTCCTTTCCTTTTTCCTCTAATGAAAATGACTGCTTTTGCTTGTGTTTGTCCTAACAGGGACTGGCATAGAGTCTCATACAGTCTAGGTCTGTGATGGAGGAGGGTCATTTGTCTATGTGTTACTTTCATTGGTTAATAAGGAAAACTACTTGGCCTGATAGGGCAGAATTTAGATAGGCGGAGTAGACCAAACAGAATGCTTGGAAGAAGGGAAGTGAGGCAGATGCTCTGTTCTCCAAGACAGACGCAAGTTAGATCCTTTCCAGTAAGCCACCACCTCGTGGTGCTACACAGATGATTAGAAATGGGTTAAGCAAGTTATGAGAATTAGCCAGTAAGAGGCTAGAGCTAATGGGCCAAGCAGTGTTTAAAAGAATACAGTTTGTGTGTTGTTATTTCGGGTATAAAGCTAGCCGTACAGGAGCCAGGTGGCGGGACGCAGCCCGCCGTTCCTACTAGCCGCATTCTAACTTGAACTGTTTCTCCACCCCAACTGCTCCCTGTTGTTATGCTTGTACACAACATAAGCACACGTGCAGGTGTGCCCTAGAGGAGGCCAAAGGAGAATGTTAACTCCTCTGCTATCACTCTCCATCTCATTCCCTTGAGATGCAGTCTCTCAGTGAACTTGTAGCTAGGCTGGCTAGGCCAGCAAGCCATGTTCCTGTCTCTAAGCCAACAGTGCTAGGGTTATGGGCAGGCATTCACAGTCATGCCTAACTTTTTACATGAGTGCTGGGGATTTGAAATCAAGACTTTACGTTTGGGGCAGGTGGTAGTGGGGTACATTTTTAATCCCAGCATTCAGGAGGCAGAGACAAGTGGATCTACATGAGTTCGAGGCCAGCCTGGTCTACAGAATTAGTTACTGTACATGGTCCAAAACTACACAGAGAAACCCTATCTCAAGGAGAAAAACAAAACAAAAACAAACTTCATGATTGGGCAATAATTGGTTTTTTTTTGTTGTTGTTGTTTTTTTTTTTTTGTTTTTCAAGACAGGGTTTCCCTGTAGTTTTAAAGCCTGTCCTGGAACTAGCTCTTGTAGACCAGGCTGGCAATAATTGCTCTCATGTTCCAGACCAATTTGGGCTAATTTGCTCAAGGCCAGCCTAAGCTACAAAGACAGTATCTCCAAAACAAGAATATTCTATGAAATAGAAAACACAGCAATAAAAACTCTTTTAAAGCTGGGCAGTAGTGGCGCACGCTGGGGAGGCAGAGGCAGGCGAATCTCTGTGAGTTCCAGGCCAGCCTGGTCTACAAGAGCTAGGCACCAAAGCTACAGAGAAACCCTGTCTCAGAAAAAAAAAAAAACCCACAACTTTTAAAAGATATTATCTCCAACACAGCAACAATCTACTAGCTGAATTAAAAAAAAATAGCAGGAGTCTTTAAGTATATACTCCATGGCTTTCAGGATTTTTTGATTTTTTGTTTTGTTGATGTTTTGTTTTGAGTATAGGGTCTTATGTAACACAGACTCAAACTGACCTTACTATGGAGTCAAAGATAACCTCCAACTCTGGTTCCTACTTTGACCTCCACTGTGCTAGGATTACAGAAACTCATTACCATGAGTGGCTCATCTGTTTCCAGATAATATCAATTGTAGTTTAGGTTATAAGGAGACTTTTACTACTTTGTTGCATTTTCTGCAACATTTACATTAATTGCTTTAGTAAGTCAAAAACATAAAGTAATTATCCAAATTGAAATTCTATCAAAATCACAAGATATGAGCTACATGCCTGAGGTAGATTTAGGAATAGTTTTGTTAAAATTATGAGCAGCTGAGCCTGGTGGCATACAACTTTAACATCACTGCCCTGGAGGCAGAAGTAGGGAGGTCTCTGAGAATTCAAAGTCAGCCTAGTCTACAGAGTGAGTTTCAGGCCAGTCAGAACTACACAGTAAGAGCCTATCTCAAACTGAAGAAAAAAAAGAGAGAGAGAGAGAGAGAGAGAGAGAGAGAGAGAGAGAGAGAGAGAGAGAGAGAGAGAGAGAGAGAGAGAGAGAGAGAGAGAGAGAAAGAGAGCCAGGCACTCCAGCAGTCACCAAGGAGCTTGGATGGGAGGCAGAGACAGGCAGATCTCTGTGAGTTTGAGGTCAACATAATCTACAGAGTTTCAGGACACCTAAAGATGCAAAGAGCAATCCTGTCTTGAAAAAAAAAAAAAGCAAAAACAAATAAATAGGGGAAAAAAGCAATTATTTATTAGAACATGTCAAAAAGGATGTCTTGTTTTTGCACACATGTGTCTGTGGAGAGCAAACCAAGGACCTTCCGTGTCATACCTCTAAAGTATAGTCAGGGGGAGCTCTATCTTAACAACAAAAGGAAGCCAGGCATGGTAGCTCTCCTGTGTAATTCCAGCACTTAAGAAGCAGCTGACACAGGCGTGTCTCCACAAGCTCAAGGCAGGCCTGGGCTTCATAGAGACCCAGTCCTTAGAAAATAGCCCACAAGACTTCTCACTGGGTAAAGACTTGCCAGAAGCCTGGCAACCCGACTCTATAAATCTGTCTGAGCTCCACACGTGTGCTGTACAGAAGTATAAGCCTTTAATCCTGGCAGAGATAAGTAGATCTCTAATAGTTTAGGACCAGCCTGGTCTATATATCAAGTTCCAGTTCATCAGGAACTACACAGTAATAAACAAACAGAGAGCTGACAGTGTGGCTCATAGAATTCTTATTTAGCCTACACAAGAAATGGGGGGGGGGGGGGAATAAAACAACAAAAAAAGAAAAAATAGTCAAGGGACAGAATAGGGGGAAAAATTTTAAGTAAAACAAAGCAGTACATGACTGTAACCCTACCATTCAGGAAGTAAAGACAGGACTGGCATAGGCTACAAATCTATATGCTTTCTCAAAAATAAAACAAAAGCTATACAAACAAAAAAGTCAAAATTACTAGTAATAAATATTTAGAAAACAGAACAAAATACTAAACATGGAAAATTTCCAGTTGGGTACATATAGTTCAGTGGTAGGGCTTACCTACCATGTTATAGGTCTTGGGATCAATTATCAGCCTCATAAAACTAACAAACCAGAAAGTTGCCTGGTTACTCAGGAAACTAAACAAAGAGGATCTCTTGAATAAGGATCATTGGAGCCTCTTAGCTTAGGGCTTAGCAGAAAGCAAACTCCTGCATCAACAAATATTTCATGTACACAAACCTACTGAAATAACAAGTTATATAATTTGTATTTATTCAGATTATTTAAAATTTTTTAATTATTTTCTTATCAAGTAAACAAAATTCATAGGAAGAAAGTGCACGTGTATACATTTTAAAATACATTACGGAGCACTAAAAGGATCAGCAATTCTTAGTGTCCCTATAGTTACCAAGTCATCTTATATCTAAATAAGATCACTCAACTTAGTCCTACTAAAATAAAATTGCCCTGCTTTCCGCTTTTGTAAATAAAATAAGCACTTGTTTAATGGTTGAAAATGGGTGTCAGAGATGGCTCAGAACTTAAGAGCACCTGTAGCTTTCGCAGGGACAGGGATTTGGTTCCCAGCACCCATATGGCAACTGACAACAATCTGTATCTAATTCCAGTTCCAGTGCCCTCTTCTCATCTCTGCAGCATCAGACAGCACACTTGCACGTAAGAGTAAACCTTGCAAGGCATGGTGAGCCACACCTTTAATCTCAGCACTTGGGAGACAGAGACAGGTGGGGGCTACATAAGGAGCCCCTGTTTCAAACTAAAATAAACAAACATTCGGAAAATAGCCTCCTCAATTTGTTTGTGCATAGTCCAAAGTTGTTTTCCTGCTACTATGTTAACTGAACAGTTATGACAGAGCCACTATGTCAACAAAATCTAAGTTATCTATCTACATGTTTTCAGACTGTGATCTAAATGATTGCCAAATATATCAGAAATGACAGAAAAATAATTGCTTACTCCTTTTCAGCCCAATTTATTTAAGGTTTATTATGAACTTCTTTGTAATTATTAAATACTGATATTCACATTGTGGTTACTTTCCATAGAGTAGGTATTACATTAGTTGCCCAGTAATTTATCCCTCACAATAGTATTACAAACAAGATCTTCACTAAGGCACATTAGCAATTACCACTACATACACTCATCTTTCAATTGCATATAACCTACTAAGGTATAGAGAAGCAAAGCTGAACACAAAAATAAAAATTGATGTAACTTCACTCCTAATAGTCTATTCACACCACAGCATCCCAGAGAACCATTAAGGACAAAAGCAGCAGTGTTATTAGGATTGCGTACTAGGAAAGACAATCCATCAGCACCAAACCTACCAGGTTTTTTTTATGCACATTAAAAATTTTGAGAACCGGCCAGGTTGTGGTGGTGCATGCCTTTAATCCCAGCACTCGTTAAGCAGAAGAAGGTGTCTCTCTGTGAGTAAGAGGTCAGCCAGGTCTACAGAGCTAGTTCCAGGACAGCCAAGGCTACACAAAGAAACCCTGCCTCAAAACAACAACAAAAACCAAATAAACAAACAAATAAAATAAAGTAGAAATGTTGTGAAATGGGAAGAAAGAATCAGGTGCTAAAGTCAGGCAGAGTGGTGCACAACTTAAATCCTAGCACTTGTGAGGCAGAGGCAGGAGTTCGAGGCCAGCCTAGTCAGTCTATAGAACAAGCTCCGGACAGCCAAGGCTACCCAGACAAACACTGCTTCAAACAACAAAAAAACATTTTGAGAATTTTGTACCAAAAGATCATTTTACCTTGAGTGTGAAAAGGCTAATTCGGCCAGGCAATTTATAAAATAGTCCTTCTCCTCCTCTTGAGTTGGAATGTAGCATGGCATTGAGGCACGCGAGAGGGGATGTCCCACTGAAAACATGAAAAGATGAAAATGGGCCACAAAAATCAGTTTCTACTTATCAAACACCCAGCTCTAGTTCACTTTCAAACCAAAAAACAAAGCAAGCAATGCAGGAGCAACGATGCTATTACGAAAGCAGAAGATAAGTAACTAAAGTCGAGAGAAATCCCATCAGAGCGTCTAGGCTGTAGTGCGTGGTAATTTAGAGTGCATACCAACACGTCTTTAGTGTTTCCTGACAATACAAACTGAATTCTCAAGAAATTTAGGGAGTTCAGCAGTTAAGCTTACTACAAGCCAGGCCTGGTAGCACACACCTTTAATTCTAGCACTCAGGCAGGAGCAAGTGAATCTCTGAGTTTGAGGCCAGCCTGATCTTACAGAGTAAAAAAAACTGTTCCTGTCTTGATGAAAAAGAAAAAAGAAAAAGAAAAATGAATAGGCTTGCTGCTTTTGAAGAGGACTAGAGTTCAGTTCTTGGTACCCATGCTGGATGTCTCATAACAGTTAACACTTAGGTATATGGGCTCCCATACCCTCTTCTGGCCTCCAAGGGGTACTCAAATACACACAGCTTCCGAGTGTACCTATATATACATGCCATACACACATGCATATTCACAAATTAAAAATGAAAAATGTCCAAGCTGTATGTTAACAAATTTTAAATGCACTATCTTGACCAGGTATGCTGGCTTGTTCTTGTGACCTCGGCACTCAGGAAGCTGAGAAAGGATGCCTACCACCAAGCCACAGTCAGTCACAGGCCACTCTAGTTATATTATGAGAATCTACTCAAAAACAGAAACAAATACACCTTAATAAAATTTTACTATTATAAACAAGTATTTTCAGCTAGGCGTAGTAGTGCATGTATTTACTTCCAGCACATGAGAAGCAAAGGCAGGTGATCTCTGGGAGCTTGAGGTCAGCCTGGTCTATCTAGCAGAGCTCCAAGGCAGCTAGAGCTACATAATGGAACCCCATATCAACTAAAAAAAGACAGTATTTTGGTTATTGGGACCAGAGAGATGGCTCAGCAGTTCACTATACTTGCTTTCTCTTGCAGAGGACTAGGCTCAGTTTCCAGCACCCTTATCAGGCAGCAGCTCACAGCAGTTGTCAGTAACTCCAGTTCTAGGAGAGCTGACACTTTTTTCTGGCCTCCATGAATACACACACACACACACACACACACCAACAAAAAACAAGATTTGGTCAGAGAGATGGCTCATCAGGTAAAGGCTCCTGACACCAAGTCTAAAGACCTCAGTTTTATTCCTAGGACCTATATGGTAGAAGACCTGAACCAACTCCTATAAGTTGTCCTTTTACCTCTACATCCCCTTCTCCAATAGTATCTAAAGTAAAATGTAATAAACATTTTGAATAAAAACCACATTTCCCAGTATCTACACCGAGCTGTATGAAAATAACAGACTCAATGGCACTGTATCCCCGTAATAAGCTCCCACTTTATTGTTGCACTTGAATATTTTCTAATAAAAACACACAAAAATGTTTTCTTTGTTGTAAAAGGGAATGAATGAGTCTTATCTACAGACTTCATTTGCAAAGAAAAAGGCCATCAAAAGGATTTAGTAAGTAATATCTGAACATCTAACTAGATAGTATATTAAGTTCCATGGTCCCTGCTACAACAGTAAGTTATAAAATAACTTCATGAGACAGAGGATACTTACTGAATAACAGAAAAAGGTGTCAAAAATAGACAAGTGCCTATTATCATTAAATTTGTCACTAGAATGTTAATACTAGGATTCACCCGTGCATGTTTTCTTCCCTCTCCTCGGTATGTTTAAAAATAAAAGGTATCTTAAGCCCCTATTTTTCAAAACTAGCAGCCCTAATTTACATAGTGTTAAAAATAAATTGAGTGTAAAAAAGACATTTAAAAAACAATTATTCTGCTTTGAAACACACTGGATGCTAAAAATAACTAGACAACAAAAAAGTCACTAAAAGCGAGCTGGTGTAGAATCTAGATCATCAAATGGCTGTGCTAGCATCTCCTACAAAGGGGCATAACACATTGGCAAGTCCTTCTGTGACTCCTACACACAACATCTATCTACAATGACAGAACTTTTCCCTCATCCTGAATGCTACAATTCCTAGAACAAAAAAGCAGAAACAAGGGAATAATTTACCTTCTACAGGCGTAGTAATCCAACGGCAGGGCAGACATCAGCATGATGGGAAATGGCCCAAGAAAAAAAATAAAGCACAATTATCACACTGCAAAGTGCATAGGTACAAGGTCAAAAAGATGGGCTACAGGCAACTCTAAGCATCCCTCCCCATAAAACATTAAAGAATATGTGACCTGAGTAATGAGAAACAACTTTCATCATTTCAAGTGACTACAATGTCCTTAGTCACATAATATACTAACGCTTAGGGCTGGGGAGAAAAACTCATTCAATAAAGTACTTGACAGGGGCTGGAGAGATGGCTCAGTGGTTAAGAGCATTGCCTGCTCTTCCAAAGATAGTGAGTTCAATTCCCGGCAACCACATGGTGGCTCACAATCATCTGTAACGAGGTCTGGTGCCCTCTTCTAGTCTGCAAACACACACAGAATATTGTATACAAAATAAATAAATATTTTTTTAAAAAGTACTTGACAAACAAGCACTTAGACCATACTTCATACCCCAAACCCCACCTGATTTAAAAAAAAAAATGCAAGTGTGGTGTCCAGGGGCTTGTGATTCCACTGCTGGGGAAACAGATACAGGCTTGGTAACAAATCAGCACAGCCTAATTTGCAAGCGTAGGTCCCAGTTAAAGACCCCTTTTCACAAAAAACAAGGCAGAATGTCATCCAAGGTTGTCCTCTGGTACACACACGTACACATACACAAACCCAGGCATCTGCTCATACATAAACATGTATGCAATATCCCCCATTGTCAAAAATGCTGTTTGTTCCGAATTCCAAAAAGGAACTGTTGTTATACACACTCCTCTTTCCTTACTTAAATAAAAAAGAAAATGGCTGGACAGCTGGAGTGATGGCTCAGTGGTTAATAGCACTGGCTGCTCTTCCAGAGGACCTAGGTTCAATCTCCAGCACACACATGACAGCTCACAACTGCATGTAACTCCAGTTCCAGCAGTTCCAATGCCCTCTTCTGGCCTCCATGGGCACTATATGAATACAATGTACAGACATACACTCTGGTAAAACAAACAAAACAAATACAAGGAATTTTTTTTTTTTTTTAATTTAAGCAGTGGTGGCACACATTAATCCCAGCACTTGGAAGTAGAGGCAAAAAAATCTCTTGAGTCTGAGGGCAGCCTGGTCTAAAGATGAGTTCCAGGACTCTGATACACAGAAAAACCCTGTCTGGGATAGGGAGGGGGATACTAAAAGAAGGGGTTCATATAAATGGTGAGAAGAGAGGAGAATCAAAGACAACCCCCAGTTTTTACGCCTCCAGTTACTTCTGTGTTTCTTACTTGTTTCCTCTCCAGGAAAACATTATAACAAATTCAAGGTTACTAGTTAGCACATTTTAAAAAATAATTATTTTATGTTCATTGATGTTCTCCTGCATGTATGTCTGCAGTGAGGGTGTCAGATCTTGGAGTTACATATAGTTGTGAGCTGCCATGTGGGTACTGGGATTTGAACCCAGGTCCTCTAGAAGAGCACTCAGTACTCTACGGAGTCATCACTCCAGCCCCCTCATTAGTAAGTACATCTGTATCAGGAAAGACTAGACCAGCTACTTGTGGGTGGCATGTGTCTCTAATCCCAGCACTTGAGAGGTGGAAACATGAGGATCAGCATTCAAGGCAAGCCTCAGCAGGCCAGTAAGTTAGAAACCACCTATAAGAGACTGTCTCAAAAAACAAGAAAGAATGACTAAGTCTTTGAGTACCCAGAGGGTTTTTATGCCACTGAGACCATCTTTCTTGACTCCAAAAGGAAAAGACATTTGTGGTGTGGCAAAGAAAAGCATAGAGAAAAGAGCATATATGGGCTTGCTCCTTCTCTATTACTAAATAATATTGTAAAATAATAGTGTATGAGAAGCCAGGATGGTGAGAACTTCTAAAAAAAAAGAGAGAGAAGTGTGCTAGAAAATTTATCTGATTCTATTGAAGAAAGATAAGAACCTTACTCTAGCTGAAGGTCAAGACCTAGGTGAAGTCTTGTGAAAGACACTGTATTTCTGATGAAAATAAATGGATGTTCTCCTATCCCACTCCCACCCTCCACTCGGGATACACAACACTACCATCAGATACAGAATCAAGGATAGACCAACAGGTGGACTTACTGCTGCATATCACAGACACATGTCTTGTGAAGCCCTCACTTAAGCAACAAGAGCAATACAAACCTCATTTCCTTCAGTCCTTCTGCCTCTATGACCTGCAGAATCTGTTTTGGTGTCATTGGAGCATCCGAGTAGTTTTCTAACACCTGAAGAAACATAAACGTCCTGACTTCAGTGTGAAAAGGTCCATTATATTCATCAGTCTGCACGAGGTTGGTAGTACTGCTCTGCAGAGCTCTCAGGGACAGATAAGATTACCACAATCAAAATGACTTTGGTGTTGGGGTGTGGCTCAGTGGCTTGGCATTAAAACAATTACTTCAGAAATTACATTCTTATCAGTATATTGAAAATTAAATGCAATTAGATAAAACATTCAAATCTAAATTCTAAGGATAGCTATTTTAACATCTATGTGTAATAAATAATATGCAAAATCTTAGTAGCAGCTCCAGGAACTGCAGGAGCTAATATTGTTAAAACACAAAATATAGACCAGGTGTGGAGGTATACTCCTTTAGTCCCAGCATGCAATCTCTTGTGAGGCCTATCTCAAAAGATAAAAACAACCAACAACAAAAAAAAATATTGCTGCAAAGTATATGTTAAAATGAAAATTCATTCAAATTTTCTTTCCCAAGGAACTTTCAGGCCAAGAGTGGTGGCACATGCCTTTAATCCCAGGAAAAGCAGACTGATGTCTGTGGGTTCAAGGCCAGCCTGGTCTTGAACTCAAGACCAGCCAAGCTACATAATGACACTGTGTCTTAGAAAAAAGTTCTGACTAATACCCATATGGGTGTGTGTGTATATATACAGGTTTTTTTTTTTTTTTTTGGTTCTGGATACAGTCTCACTATGCAGTCCAAGCTGGNAAAAAAAAAAAAGCAAAAACAAATAAATAGGGGAAAAAAGCAATTATTTATTAGAACATGTCAAAAAGGATGTCTTGTTTTTGCACACATGTGTCTGTGGAGAGCAAACCAAGGACCTTCCGTGTCATACCTCTAAAGTATAGTCAGGGGGAGCTCTATCTTAACAACAAAAGGAAGCCAGGCATGGTAGCTCTCCTGTGTAATTCCAGCACTTAAGAAGCAGCTGACACAGGCGTGTCTCCACAAGCTCAAGGCAGGCCTGGGCTTCATAGAGACCCAGTCCTTAGAAAATAGCCCACAAGACTTCTCACTGGGTAAAGACTTGCCAGAAGCCTGGCAACCCGACTCTATAAATCTGTCTGAGCTCCACACGTGTGCTGTACAGAAGTATAAGCCTTTAATCCTGGCAGAGATAAGTAGATCTCTAATAGTTTAGGACCAGCCTGGTCTATATATCAAGTTCCAGTTCATCAGGAACTACACAGTAATAAACAAACAGAGAGCTGACAGTGTGGCTCATAGAATTCTTATTTAGCCTACACAAGAAATGGGGGGGGGGGGGGAATAAAACAACAAAAAAAGAAAAAATAGTCAAGGGACAGAATAGGGGGAAAAATTTTAAGTAAAACAAAGCAGTACATGACTGTAACCCTACCATTCAGGAAGTAAAGACAGGACTGGCATAGGCTACAAATCTATATGCTTTCTCAAAAATAAAACAAAAGCTATACAAACAAAAAAGTCAAAATTACTAGTAATAAATATTTAGAAAACAGAACAAAATACTAAACATGGAAAATTTCCAGTTGGGTACATATAGTTCAGTGGTAGGGCTTACCTACCATGTTATAGGTCTTGGGATCAATTATCAGCCTCATAAAACTAACAAACCAGAAAGTTGCCTGGTTACTCAGGAAACTAAACAAAGAGGATCTCTTGAATAAGGATCATTGGAGCCTCTTAGCTTAGGGCTTAGCAGAAAGCAAACTCCTGCATCAACAAATATTTCATGTACACAAACCTACTGAAATAACAAGTTATATAATTTGTATTTATTCAGATTATTTAAAATTTTTTAATTATTTTCTTATCAAGTAAACAAAATTCATAGGAAGAAAGTGCACGTGTATACATTTTAAAATACATTACGGAGCACTAAAAGGATCAGCAATTCTTAGTGTCCCTATAGTTACCAAGTCATCTTATATCTAAATAAGATCACTCAACTTAGTCCTACTAAAATAAAATTGCCCTGCTTTCCGCTTTTGTAAATAAAATAAGCACTTGTTTAATGGTTGAAAATGGGTGTCAGAGATGGCTCAGAACTTAAGAGCACCTGTAGCTTTCGCAGGGACAGGGATTTGGTTCCCAGCACCCATATGGCAACTGACAACAATCTGTATCTAATTCCAGTTCCAGTGCCCTCTTCTCATCTCTGCAGCATCAGACAGCACACTTGCACGTAAGAGTAAACCTTGCAAGGCATGGTGAGCCACACCTTTAATCTCAGCACTTGGGAGACAGAGACAGGTGGGGGCTACATAAGGAGCCCCTGTTTCAAACTAAAATAAACAAACATTCGGAAAATAGCCTCCTCAATTTGTTTGTGCATAGTCCAAAGTTGTTTTCCTGCTACTATGTTAACTGAACAGTTATGACAGAGCCACTATGTCAACAAAATCTAAGTTATCTATCTACATGTTTTCAGACTGTGATCTAAATGATTGCCAAATATATCAGAAATGACAGAAAAATAATTGCTTACTCCTTTTCAGCCCAATTTATTTAAGGTTTATTATGAACTTCTTTGTAATTATTAAATACTGATATTCACATTGTGGTTACTTTCCATAGAGTAGGTATTACATTAGTTGCCCAGTAATTTATCCCTCACAATAGTATTACAAACAAGATCTTCACTAAGGCACATTAGCAATTACCACTACATACACTCATCTTTCAATTGCATATAACCTACTAAGGTATAGAGAAGCAAAGCTGAACACAAAAATAAAAATTGATGTAACTTCACTCCTAATAGTCTATTCACACCACAGCATCCCAGAGAACCATTAAGGACAAAAGCAGCAGTGTTATTAGGATTGCGTACTAGGAAAGACAATCCATCAGCACCAAACCTACCAGGTTTTTTTTATGCACATTAAAAATTTTGAGAACCGGCCAGGTTGTGGTGGTGCATGCCTTTAATCCCAGCACTCGTTAAGCAGAAGAAGGTGTCTCTCTGTGAGTAAGAGGTCAGCCAGGTCTACAGAGCTAGTTCCAGGACAGCCAAGGCTACACAAAGAAACCCTGCCTCAAAACAACAACAAAAACCAAATAAACAAACAAATAAAATAAAGTAGAAATGTTGTGAAATGGGAAGAAAGAATCAGGTGCTAAAGTCAGGCAGAGTGGTGCACAACTTAAATCCTAGCACTTGTGAGGCAGAGGCAGGAGTTCGAGGCCAGCCTAGTCAGTCTATAGAACAAGCTCCGGACAGCCAAGGCTACCCAGACAAACACTGCTTCAAACAACAAAAAAACATTTTGAGAATTTTGTACCAAAAGATCATTTTACCTTGAGTGTGAAAAGGCTAATTCGGCCAGGCAATTTATAAAATAGTCCTTCTCCTCCTCTTGAGTTGGAATGTAGCATGGCATTGAGGCACGCGAGAGGGGATGTCCCACTGAAAACATGAAAAGATGAAAATGGGCCACAAAAATCAGTTTCTACTTATCAAACACCCAGCTCTAGTTCACTTTCAAACCAAAAAACAAAGCAAGCAATGCAGGAGCAACGATGCTATTACGAAAGCAGAAGATAAGTAACTAAAGTCGAGAGAAATCCCATCAGAGCGTCTAGGCTGTAGTGCGTGGTAATTTAGAGTGCATACCAACACGTCTTTAGTGTTTCCTGACAATACAAACTGAATTCTCAAGAAATTTAGGGAGTTCAGCAGTTAAGCTTACTACAAGCCAGGCCTGGTAGCACACACCTTTAATTCTAGCACTCAGGCAGGAGCAAGTGAATCTCTGAGTTTGAGGCCAGCCTGATCTTACAGAGTAAAAAAAACTGTTCCTGTCTTGATGAAAAAGAAAAAAGAAAAAGAAAAATGAATAGGCTTGCTGCTTTTGAAGAGGACTAGAGTTCAGTTCTTGGTACCCATGCTGGATGTCTCATAACAGTTAACACTTAGGTATATGGGCTCCCATACCCTCTTCTGGCCTCCAAGGGGTACTCAAATACACACAGCTTCCGAGTGTACCTATATATACATGCCATACACACATGCATATTCACAAATTAAAAATGAAAAATGTCCAAGCTGTATGTTAACAAATTTTAAATGCACTATCTTGACCAGGTATGCTGGCTTGTTCTTGTGACCTCGGCACTCAGGAAGCTGAGAAAGGATGCCTACCACCAAGCCACAGTCAGTCACAGGCCACTCTAGTTATATTATGAGAATCTACTCAAAAACAGAAACAAATACACCTTAATAAAATTTTACTATTATAAACAAGTATTTTCAGCTAGGCGTAGTAGTGCATGTATTTACTTCCAGCACATGAGAAGCAAAGGCAGGTGATCTCTGGGAGCTTGAGGTCAGCCTGGTCTATCTAGCAGAGCTCCAAGGCAGCTAGAGCTACATAATGGAACCCCATATCAACTAAAAAAAGACAGTATTTTGGTTATTGGGACCAGAGAGATGGCTCAGCAGTTCACTATACTTGCTTTCTCTTGCAGAGGACTAGGCTCAGTTTCCAGCACCCTTATCAGGCAGCAGCTCACAGCAGTTGTCAGTAACTCCAGTTCTAGGAGAGCTGACACTTTTTTCTGGCCTCCATGAATACACACACACACACACACACACACCAACAAAAAACAAGATTTGGTCAGAGAGATGGCTCATCAGGTAAAGGCTCCTGACACCAAGTCTAAAGACCTCAGTTTTATTCCTAGGACCTATATGGTAGAAGACCTGAACCAACTCCTATAAGTTGTCCTTTTACCTCTACATCCCCTTCTCCAATAGTATCTAAAGTAAAATGTAATAAACATTTTGAATAAAAACCACATTTCCCAGTATCTACACCGAGCTGTATGAAAATAACAGACTCAATGGCACTGTATCCCCGTAATAAGCTCCCACTTTATTGTTGCACTTGAATATTTTCTAATAAAAACACACAAAAATGTTTTCTTTGTTGTAAAAGGGAATGAATGAGTCTTATCTACAGACTTCATTTGCAAAGAAAAAGGCCATCAAA